GATATCCCAGTAACTATGGAATTGGTTGTTGATATCCCAGTAACTATGGAATTGTTTGTGGATATCCCAGTAACTATGGAATTGGTTGTTGATATCCCAGTAACTATGGAATTGTTTGTTAATATCCCAGTAACTATGGAACTGGTTGTTGATATCGCAGTAACTATGGTACTGGTTGTTGATATCCCAGTAATTATGGAATTGTTTGTTAATATCCCAGTAACTATGGAATTGTTTGTTGATATCCCAGTAACTATGGAATTGTTTGTTAATATCCCAGTAACTATGGAACTGGTTGTTGATATCCCAGTAATTATGGAACTGGTTGTTGAGAAAAATCTATTCTTAGGTAATTCTTATTTAATATCAAAGTATTAAGGTCAATAAAATTTACTGTAGCTACATAAATCATGTTTAACCTTTGCGATGTCGTTGTGGTATTTTACTGTATATTTATTTATTTATTTTGGCATATGATTTATTTTCATGTTATCAATGTGAGAGAGTTTATAATAAGTGGTGGGTATGTGTTTTTAAATTAATTAAATGGAGCGTGCGTATTTGTTTTATTCAATGTAGTGTATGCATGTTTGTTTTATATAACAATGTAGGTGTACTATATCATGTTTGTATGTTTTATATAACAATGTAGGTGTAATATACCATGTATGTATGTTTTATATAACAATGTAGGTGTAATATACCATGTATGTATGTTTTATATAACAATGTAGGTGTAATATACCATGTATGTATGTTTTATATAACAATGTAGGTGTAATATACCATAGTTTACACTTTATGATTAGTTGATGTTGTTTATGGTGTATTTATATATTTATTTCCTATAGGACCAGCGATAATGACGAAAGCGTAGCATGTAAGCCTTATATATATATACTGTATATATGTGGTAGTAATGGAATTAAAGAGCAATGATATAAGTAAAATGTTTGTTTTGTTTACTTGCAGATATTAATATATTGTTGACATTTTCCCTTAACCCTAACCCTAACCCTGAAGGAACACTTTGGGTCAGTTAGATTTTGTGGACAACCATACTTTTTCAATTTTCAAATGTAATATTTCAGGTGTAATATTTCAGGGATAAAATTTGAAAGACTTCAAAACGTTAATGCAGGCCGTGAAAGTCTTTGCATAGCTCACAAGAAAGTGACATCATATCACTAGGTCCGTCCCTATTAAATAAAGGAACAACTCTGGTCCAGGAACTAGGAGAGTAAGACTAGAATTTCGGGAAGAGTAAGCGTCTTCTGCTTCATCGATGACACACAACATTTAAATCTAGGTAAAATGGAAGTAATATCCCGTCCTCCTACCGATAATCAGGGAAGAGACACCAATAGAACAGCTAACACCGAGAATCAGGGAAGTGACACCAATAGTACAGCTAACACCGAGAATAAAGGAAGTGACACCAATAGTACAGCTAACACCGAGAATCAGGGAAGT